GGGGGGGGTTGGGGGGGTGGTCCGCGTTCGGTCCAAACGGCCGAACACATTCCCAAGGGGTCCCGTACGTTCGGGCGTTCGGGTTCGGGTGTTCGGCCCGTCCCGAGCGCCGGCCACCCTGCATATAGATATATACACGCCAGTGGGAAATTGAAATTTGGGATCCTCCTTGAAAAAAAATGTGTCACGCTCTACTGGTGGCGGCATGACCACGGCCCAATAATGGGATGTTTGCTCCCATTAAAACAGCGGGTATTGAACATAACCACAACAGGTGGCAAGATTCGCTCCCCAATTTGAAACTTGTGGAGCGCTTCCAATTTTTGCATTGTCATCCAAGGATTCCGCGCCGTCATCCAAGGATGTCATGGTGTAGTGATGCATGTAAATGTTCAAAGGGACTGAGACAATAGGGAACGGGCGGGTGCGGGTGGAAAATAATTAGCTACCGGGTGCGGGTGGGTTATCTTGTTCTTGTGGGTGTGGGCGGGTCAGGGTGAAGGTTTTTTACGGTGATGGGCGGGTTGGGTGCAGGAGAAAATTTCCAAAAATACACTTGGGTGGGGTCACCTTAAGATTGTTTTTATTTTTATAGGAAATTTTCAAAAAAAAACTTGGGTGGGTTGGGTCACCTTGATATTTTTTTATTTTTTTATTTTTTGAGGGCGGGCTGTACTCAAAATAATGTGGGCGGGTTGGATGAAGTGCCTAAAAAAAAAAAGCTCATCTCTGACGTAAGGACCTGAGTGAGAGGAACGTGAATGAACAAGCCTCCTTGTGGGTGGATGCTCGACAGAATAGGCACGCAGGTGAGAACAGCACGCAGCACGTGAACGCACAACATGCAAGGCACGTGGGTGGATGCGCAACAGGACGAAGCAGGCAGGTGAAACCAGCAAGCACGGGAGAGCAGGATGCACATGAGAGCAGGACGCAGGTGACAGCACGAAGGTGAGGGCAGGTAGGCGAGAGCATGCAGGTGGAAGCACACAGGTGAGAGCACATGATGCACGCTGCATGCAGGTGAGAGCATGAACGTACAACACGCAGGCCACGTGGGTGGACGCTGGACATGACAAACTACGCAGGTGAGACCAGCAAGCACGGGGGAACAGGATGCACATGAGAGCAGAACGCAGGTGAGAGCAACATGAAGGTGAGAGGAGGACGCAGGTGAGGGCCTGCAGGTGAGGGCAGGTAGGCGAGAGCTCGCCGGTGAGAGCACATGATGCACACTGCATGCAGGTGAGAGCACATGATGCACACTGCATGCAGGTGAGAGCACATGATGCACACTGCATGCAGGTGAGAGCAGGACGCACGATTTCCTGTGGGCCCGACCAATTTATGGATTCGGTGGTGTAAATTGCTCCTTGGCTTCATTAGTGCATAGTGAGTCCGTCCAACCTACCAGGACAGATGTCAGATTCTGTTCTACTGGTCCAAGAAGCTTCTATGATAATCGAAATGGCTTCGAGGTTTCCTTAACTTGGAATTGAAAAAAAAAAAAAAAAATGATGGCGGGAGGCCGGTAGGCCCTGCCCATAGCGGTGATAACTATCTAATTTACCTGGTCAAAGGAGTATGTTTATCTATCTATCTATCTATCTATTTATCATACTTGCGGCGCATTAGTGCGGTGCGCGATGCGGTGCGCTGCGCCGTGCGGAATGCGCGCGGTGACACCGCGCGCGCATGCGCACGAGGTGCGCGCAGCGCGCAGCGCATTGGGACGCGCTACCCCTGCAAGGTGCTCACTGTGCTCCATGCCTCTTTT